CTGCGGTCATGAAGGATGATATATGAAAGTTTTTCATAGAATGATTGTTGTTGTTGTTATTGAACAGCACGGAAGCCATTGCTCCATTCACCATGATGTTGTTATTACAACTAATCGTGCCAGTTACTGCTAGCCTCTTCAACAAGAATTTTGGTGATGAAGAGGACGAAGAAGAAGAATTCGTTTCAACATTTTTAATTTTTTCGATTCAGTCCATTATTATTTACAACCAACAAATTCTTTTTCTTCAGTTGAACCTATAATAACAAGGGGCTATCCGTATCATGACGACAGGGATTCAATAATACCAAACCAGAAAATCAACAACAACCACCATCCTTTCATTGTCTGCCTCTCTCGTACTTTTATGAGGGAGACCATCCGCATATATTCACGCAAAAGAAAAATGCAGCAGCCTCAACCACAATCTTCTTCCTCCTCCTCATCATCGTCTTCTCACAATCAACACACAAACAATAACGCGGCTCATCATCATCAGGAAATTAAAACAGCGTTTGTGAAATCGGTGCTGCAACAGGATGACCAGGTGAAATTTCTGGTTAACGTCTATAAGAGGCATGGACCAGGAGGTTTGATGCCATCCTCTTCAACAACAACAACAAATTCCTCAAGCACGACAACGGGAAATAACAGCAAAACACAACAACAACCTCCTCAAGTTCTAATAGTACTTCCTCCTCGTTGTCATCAAAACAAGCCTCATCCTCGGAAAAGAGTGTGCCGGCATCAAAAGTACAACAGTTTTTACCAAGAAAGAAAGTGAGCCAGTTTTAATGGCCTTGATCGCCCACAAGGACGTTCCAACAAATGTTGCCATCATGTTTTTGGACTATTCCATGGATAACAAAACGTTCCGAATAAGAGATTTCCAACTGATCAAAAAGCACGATTTTGGAATTAAAATTGTAGATGAGATTCACTTTGATTTGTACTTTAAAAGCCAAGCTACAGTGTACAATCTTCAGAGTGAATCTGCAAGTACTCAATGGGTGGTCGTTTCTTCTCTCATAAAAGTCTGTAAACTCGTAAATGATCAACCTGGCCATCCTTCATTCACAACAACAAGTTCTACAACATCTGCAACGACATACGTTTCGGATTCAATTTCATCTCAACCCCTACTAGATTTACCTCCACCAAAAACAGAGACAAAAGCGAATAATCGTATTTCCCTGCTAAAGTCCACAGCAGAATTGTCATTATCGGAATTTCTTGTGGATATGGATGCTCTTCATGACGGAACAGCATCAGACAATGAAGAAAGACAATGGCATCACTACTACACGCAACGTATGCAACGAGACAAAGAACAAAAGAAGAATAAGTCAGAAGACAACCAGGACATTTCAATTGACATGTTCAAAAAGCTAATAGGCAAGTATTGCCTTCATCATCAAACGGCTCTAGTACTCCCACTGACATTGCCCAAAAAGCATTAACACTTCTCCGAATCCATTACAACACGAGGCTTCTCGAAAAGACAACTGGATTCAAAGACAACTCAAAGCAAAAGAAGAAGAATTTACGGAAATTACACCTCTTTCGGTTGTGGTCTGCACCTGGAATGTGAACAACAAATTTCCTTCACCGGACACAAGTTTAGCAAAATGGCTATTATTGGATGAATTTGAAGCTGATATTTACTCCATAGGTATGCAAGAAATTGACATGACAGCAGGAGCTCTTCTAAGGAGGAAACCGAAACTGGACAGGAATGGCAAAACCTCTTCATAAAAACATTTGCAGAGGAAACCAAACAACACCGATACAAATTGATTACTGCTCGCCAACTTGTTGGTATATATCATTGCGTTTTGGTTAAGGAATCTTTGGCCAATGAAGTGACAGAAATAAGAAACTGTGCAGAAGGTGTTGGCATTATGGGTATGATGGGTAATAAGGGTGGTGTTGGAATTCGATTTAAAATTTTCGACTCTACATTTTGTTTCATTACAGCCCACTTGGCTCCTCATATGGGTGCTGTCGAGAGAAGAAATCAAAATTTCCACGATATTTGCAAAAAGCAGATTTTGGAAATCCATTCCTATACAGACCTGACCAACATGAATTTTTCTTTTGGTTTGGAGATTTGAATTATAGAATCAATCAACCAAACCTTATCGTGAGAGAAAAGATTAAGAAACAAGACTACAAATTCCTTATGAAATATGATCAACTAATGATCGAAAAGAATGCACAAAACGCCTTTGTTGGCTTCTGTGAAGGAGAAATTACCTTTGATCCAACCTACAAGTTTGATAGTGGCACAGACACCTATGATACCAGTGAAAAGGGCAGAGTGCCATCATATACAGATCGTATTTTATGGAGAGAGGATGAAAGGGGAAGAATTGTTCAAAAATCGTACAAATCATTCAAGGAATATAAAATGTCAGATCACAAGCCAGTGACCTCGTGGTTTGAGGTCGGAGTGAAGATTGTAGAAGAAAAGTACAAGAAGTGTTACTTGGATATCATCAAAATGCTGGATAAGCTTGAGAATGACATGTTGCCGGAAGTTGCAATTACTGGCCAATCCATCAATTATGAGAATGTGAAATACGATGAGCCCATTACACAAACTGTCTGTTTGCATAACACTGGCCAAGTGGTTTGCGAATATCAATTTGTACCAAAACCTCAAGAGTCACAGCCATGTAAACCCTATGTGACCATTCAACCACTTGAAGGATATGTAATTCCTGGAGAGACTGAGGAAATTAAGGTTACCATTCAAGTTAATTCTCAAAGAGCGCCAAAGTTATTGAGCGGTGATGACACCATTGACGATATTTTAATTCTCCACTTGAAAAATGGTAGAGATCATTTCATTTCTATCACTGGTAATTATGTCAAGTCATGTTTTGGATCAACACTTGACCAACTTGTCAAACAAAAGTATCCAATTCAAAGAAAAGATGACGGACTGGAATTATCAAGCTTTGAGAAAGATCTCAAAGTTCCTAAAGAGCTATGGAGACTCATCGATTTACTTTATCAAAAGGATTGAAAGAGGAGGGGTTATTTAAATATTCTGGAACTGCTAAAGAGGTTCATTACATTAGAGATTGCTTAGACGAAGGATTACCAATCACAAACCCAGTGTCTTGTCACTCTATTGCTGAAGCTTTGATAACATTTTAGAGTCTCTCAGAGAACCTGTAGTTCCATTCAAATTTTATCAAATGAGTCTCAATGCAAGTGCAAATCCAGCAACCTGCTACCATTTGATTTCCATGTTGAATGATGCTCATTGCAACACATTCCACTATTTGATGTCTTTCTTGAGAGAATGCCTCAAACACAAAAAATCTAATGGTCTCACTCAAGACGAGGTTGCCATTATTTTCTCTCGAGTTTTAATTCGACCACCACACCAAGATAAACCTCACACTCATCATGATGAATCATCCAAATATTTTGAGGAGCAACGAGCAAGAGCTCAGTTCATTAGCCACTTTTGAGAGAGGGTAAATTATGGTCGAGAGATGATGTATTGAGAGGTGACGAGCTGGAAGATGAGGATGACATGTTTGACCATCATGAACAAGAAGAAGATGAAGATCACAACTCTTCACTTTTAGCCAATGATCAATTGACTATCTCGCGCCCTCTACCTCCATCTCCTCAAAACCTTCACCTGTATCTTCCTCCACCTCTTCTTCGTCACAACCATCCTCAACAGCCACTACCACAACCTCCACCACCTTATCCGCCGATGAATTCTTGTAAAATTCTAGAACTATTGAACCATGTCACACTTTTTCTAGTGGTTTTTGAACTAGTTTGCAAAGTTACAAAGGAAAATAAAAGTTCACCATTTCACTGTTTTGAAACCTCCCGTTGTTGAACCATCATGCAACGTCACGCATGTGTTCATTCATGGAAGATTTTGCAATTTCAATTCTCCTTGACCAATTCGAACACAATACGATCTCCATCAACCCCGTAATGAACGTTTCCAAATCAAAACAAGTTCCAAATAATCACCTGCCTCAAAAAATGCAAACAAACAATATCCTGAGTCCTTCCTTGTCGGTTGACACGAAATCTTTCCTATCGCAGCGATGCATCAACTGTTGTAGCTTTGAGGGAGGGAATGAATCTTTGATGGTCACTAGTGGTCGCGACAGCTCGTAATCATGATTCCACCACCAACACCACCACCGACCAATCATTCAACACTATTCGCTTGGACCAACTTGAACAACAACCACCTCATCATCATCGGAATGAAGAGTTTCATCCAGCCATTCTGAAGGGGTCCTCACCATTATCCTCTTCAGAGCCTCTCTCATTGGATCATATGTCCATTCCCATTCAAGAAACAGACATTACCTCAGAAGAAATTAATATCAAAATTGCTCAACTGGTTTACAAGGCTTTTCCTCATCGTTTTATGGGAGGTATCTTTTCTTTTTCAAACGAGTCAATTTCGGAAGAGGATTTTTATGAAGAATCAATGAACTCGCCAATTACCTCCGAAGAGGAAAATGGCAACACCACCACCGAACAACAACAGCTGCAACCACAACAACTATTGACAACATCAATTTACTCTCCCTCATCACCATTTCATTTCGATCACCATCATGACAGTCGTATTCCTGTGTACAATTATGAAAATAATGATGATACCCTCAATGGTGAAGAGGATGACGAAAAAGTTCAAAGTGGTAATGAAAATGATAATACTTCTGTGGGATCTTTCTCGAGTGGAATACCTTCGGATATGGTCACTTCGACGACCATTTCTGCCATCGAATCACCAACCATTAATCCTCATCAAATCATTCACGGAGATGGTAATAATCCACAACAACAACAACAATACTTGATTGATTCAATTCCTACATCCACAATCAACGTTTCGTGTTCTCTATCTCGAGATTCACACCATGAAAATGACATGGCTGGGTTGAATGAAAAGACGAGGAATGATCATGTTGAATTTTGGCAACTCATTCTTCAGAAATATATTCACATCAAGCAATTAACTGGGGGTACTACAAATCGATTGTATTTGGTACATTTTCTTCGTCACAATCATGACGACCACAATGGGGAAGAACAACATCATCACCAAAACACCAACACTCTTGACCACCTTTCAAATCCAAAGAAGGTTCTTGTGCGTTGCTTTGGGCAAAACTCTGAAAATCTCATCGATCGTAAAGCTGAATTGCACTACATTCAGCAAATTTCTTTACATTATCCAGAGTTGGCACCGTCCATTTATTGCAAATTTCAAAATGGGCTCATCTACAGATATTTTGAAGGGATTGGACTTGATGAGTTAGGTGGAGCTAAAGATCATTATTTGCAAATTGCCAAACTTATGAAGGCAATACATTCGATTCATGTTCCGTCGTTTCAAAGTGAGTCTTCTTCTTGCAAGCCTCACCACAACAATCACCGCAACGCACACCATGTTAAACCTGTTGTGTTTGAGCGAACTCATCGTTGGCTTGATCTTTTAAAAAGCAGACGTGAGGAATTTAACAAGAGTAGTGACTCCATTCCAAGTGTGCTTGACATGGATCAGTTAGAGAAGGAGGTCAACCTCATCCAATCCTATTGCAAAGACTTTCCAGTATCATTTTGTCACAATGACATTGGAGCTCACAATATTATTTACAACGAAAAGGAAAACCATTCCTATCTGCATTCGATATTGGAAATTTCTTTTGTGAATTTGGAGGTTTGTGTATCAATCCACAAGCATTTCCAACTAGGGAACAACAAACACTCTTTTGCAAAGCTATTTTGAAGGATCCTCTGTGAGTGAGGAACAATTAGAATTATTCAGAAGACAAGCCAATGTCATGAGTTTGGTGAGCAATTTACATTGGTCTATCTGGAGCATGTTACAACACATGTTCTCAACCATTGATTTTAATTATCTCGAATATGCAGAACGAAGAATGCAATGGTATTACAGAATCCGAGATGAAACTCTTTCTCTCATTTCATTGAATCATGATGATGAAAAATAATTCTTGTTTCCCCGTGTGTATTTCTACTCGATAATTTCTCGAGATCATTGTGACAACGTTCCATATTCACCTCTACTAGCTGCCGTAAATGTTCATCAATAGTGTGAACTTGGAACTGCAAAATAAATTCTTACGAAGTTTAATTGACAACTTTCTGACCTTTCATCAAAAAAATGTCTTTACCATCCAACATCCCACCACCCCCTCCCTTGTTCACCACTCCACCCAGGTCATCGATCAGCAGCGTCGACGACCACACAACGTTGAGTTCAAACATTCCTCCTCCTCCTCCATTTGCATTCTCTTCGAACTCGGTCACCTCCGTTCCGCCTCCTCCTCCTCCGTCTTCCATGTCTTCTTCATCCACCACTTCAAAAAGTACTATCTCTCCAAAATGAAGAAGGACAAGACAGAGACACGTCACACCCAGACCATTTCCAGTCAAGCAAATGAAGCCATTCTCAACTCAACCACCACAACCACCATTCATCCGGAATTCATCATCCGAGATCCCTATCTTTCCGAATACATTCCTTCCGAGAATCAAAAAACAAATCAAAGTACTCCTCATTACCACTCCGAGTGTTCCCAACAAGGGTCATTCCATTCTCGAAAAGTGTCTCTCCGATTGCATTCAACAGAGTCATGACTCGAGAGCACCCGATCTTGTCATTACTCCGGAGCATTGGATTTCTTCGGGATCATGCACAGTTCCACCCTCTCAACATTCGGAAGTAATGGAAATTGCACGAGTACTTTCTCGTTATCATTGTTATGGATTTATTGGAATGACTTTGGTGGAGAATGTCACAAATTCAAAGAATTCCAAGTCATTTTCGGTGGAATATCAACGATTCAATGTGGTCACAGTGATTAATCCAAAGGGACAAGTGTTGGGAGTGTACAAGAAACGACATCCGACAGCTCATGAAACTGCTCTCTCCATCGGAGATCGGGTCGGAATCTTTGATACCATATATGGAAGAATTGCAGTCTTGATTTGTTTTGACATTGAGAGTGAAAATATTTTACAAGAAACCTTACTGTATCAACCCAAGATCATTGTAAATCCGACATTTATTGGAGGAGGTGGACTTTTTGATTCAAATCTCAATTTAACACCTCAAGATGCAGAACGATCGAGATACTTTCAAATTAAAACCTCTTTGGAAGCATTTGGAAGAAATTTCGAAAAGACTTGTGTGGACTCGAGAGTGACAATTATTCGATGTGACACAGCAGTCATGTCAGGTGGAAGAGGTACTCATCAATTGATGACACCTTACTCAACCATTTATCCTCCTTCTTTTATAGAAATATGGATTTTTGTTTTTATGTGGATTTAGATGTGAATGAGAATGATTTTTCACATGAAACGGCAGCTCCACCTCGAGATCGTTCCGATCAAGCAGATAATGTGGGTGCAAGATATGTCATGTATTCAAACGAGAGACAACGTTCAGTCTTGTTGAATCGAAAAGATGTTGTTCATGAAAAGGATGTAAAAGTGACAACGACAACAACAACACCTTCTTCTTCGTCACTTGCGGTGAATCCTTTTGGTGTGAAATTTTATGGTCACAACAAGTATATTTGTCATGATCAGGAACGAGTGGCCCTCGTGAATGCCGATGTTTTGTTTTGTAATGAAGAATTGGATCGGCTTAATATTTATGAAACTTTTGGAGCTTTCATTGAGGATATTTTGTGAGATTTGACAAGAAACAATTACTGATCATGACCTCAGACCACATGTTGAGAATTTTCACCCTATTGGACGATGAATTGAAGTTAAAAGCTTGTAACAAGTCATTTCTCAAATTTGAAAAGCAATTTAAAATTCCTTTGTCACTTGAAGTGACCAGTTCAGAGAATGGAGATGATACAGAAAGGTGCGACAACAACAAGCATATTGCAATATGTCGAAAATTCTGCTCGTTTGGAAAATCTTCTCAAAATCCCACTCATTTATTTATTTATTCCTCGAATGGCATCTTGAGAGTTCAGTTAACATCAACAAAGTTCAATAATCGTGAGGAATTGATTTCTTTCGATTCATCCAACTACTATGTGAACAAAACGTCTTGCTCTCAACAAGAGATTTTAACCTTAGTAGATTATGAAGAAAGTACTCAAACTTTATATTTCTTATTGTGGAACACAGAGAAAAAGAATGAATTGTTGCTTGCTTCAAAATGCTTTGGCCATGATCTTGATATTCAAGAAACAACGTCATGCATGATGGTTATTCTAAGCTCGGTCACCATTGATAATTTGAACCTAACCAAAGAAGAAGAATCCACGTTGATTCAGGTACAGAAAACATTGGAAAGAAATAACGAGAAGCATTTTGTGATCACTTTTAGAAACAAACATTCTTCTTTTGAGAAAATGCTTCCTCTCACTTGCAATACACATCCTAAACCCTCTCTTCACCTGATGGAGAGGCCTATCTTATTGCCACAGCCTTGCACCTGTGTATTGCCTTTAAATTTGTCACAATATCTGGCTGCAACGGTGGAGGGAGAATTGTTGTTGCTTGAGACAACATTGCAACAACAGCAAGACCAAGTCACACCTTCTGTGAGGCATCATTTTCATCGAATTCCCATTCACAAAGCTCGAAGAATTTTGAGTATGCATTTCAACGAGATGCAAGGATGTTTGGTCATGTTTCACGAAGATGCAACAAGTGAGGGAGTTTATCAAAGCCTCACACGGTTTGGAACGAATCGGTTTGTGGCAGACCTGTCCAACTTCTTCGTTTGAAGAAATTTGAAAGTCAAGTTTTCATAAATAAATAATATATTATTAATTAGAAATGCAATCGGAATAGATGAAATGGCAGAATTTAGTACTCATGAACAACAATTATGTGTTGCTGCTGTTCGACTACTTGTTGTCAAAATTTGCAACGACTCTTGTCACAGTGAATTATTCTCCACAGAATTTTCCTCTCAAAGAATTTCCTTAAAGGTCTACTTGGCACAACGTTTAAACACCTCGAACGCCACAAACACTCCCAGATAAATAAAGCACCCCAAAGCAACACATCCCAACACAATAGCAGCAACTCTCATGCCTAACCTTGGCCCTATGGTATAAGCAAAGGCCGTATTTGCATCATTTTGATCAATGGTGTATGGATTAATGAAACATTTTGTAGTTGTTCCTACAGCATAATTAAAATACGTGGTTGACATTGCATATGGCAATGTAATTCTTGTTTGATTCAATCTGCTCGTTGTCGTATTAAATGAAGAAGGTAACATCACAAGTACTTGTGATTTACAAAAAGTTCTGCAATTTGAAATGGTCGTATTACTTGGAACAATGTCCAAACCATTATTGATACAATCATTCGTACAATTCATTCGATGTGTTTGAATCAAACATGGAACAGCTACTGTTAATTCCGTTAAATCTATCGAGTTGTCCGCAATTCCTCCCAATATAATGGAAATCAACCCAAACACACAACAAATTCCGAGAGTAATGATGGCCCATATCGATGTTTTTTTGAAACAGAAAAGTGATGATGGCCTTCCTTCGTTGTACATTTTTATTCTCCTGTCCACCACTACCATTGCCCGATTCCAAATTCACCATGATGGGCTGTTGTTCAATGGGTTTCTTCTGAAGATGGTGAGCCATAATGCTGCTGCTTCTGTTGTTCGTCGTGGACGATCCTGAAGGCTCGTTCACCATTTTGGAATAGCGGCCTTGATAGTGATGAAGAGTGCTAATTTTTTAAAAAGGAATTTTTTCAATTTTTTTTTAAAAAAATAATTATTGCGAGGCCTCGTTATTATCCTTTTTCTTCACTACAAGCTTGTAACAACAGCAGTCGTTCGCTTTCATTATCCTTTTTCTTCTGTATAACCTCACTCAGCTGTCCTTTTTGTGTGTGTTTGCAGCCAGCGTATACTTGAGAGGCATGTGTTCGTCGTCGTCAAGACAATAGTGTATCACCGATTATTTATCTTGTTGAACAAAATCATCATTCCGGAACTTTGACGTCATCATCTTCATCTCTGATTATTATTTATTTACCGGAAAAGTAAATTTAAATCATCATTAAATCAACAACCAACACCACACCTACGGATCATAACAACAATGAACGAATATGTTGCAAGCTATTTACTCAAGAATAACTTTATGCTCACTGCATTAGAGTTTTATCAAGAGTTATTGGAAGAGGGTCTTGAATTGAAAATCCTCAGAGATTACTTTGAAAATAAGGAATATAAAAATGTACAGGAAAGTACAAGTAGCAATGGAGGCGGTATGATGATTCAGGTCGACTCCGAACATACCAAAGCTCTTGAAGAGCAATTAAAAAAGAAGGATGAAAAGATCTCACTCATGGAATATGAAATTAAACTATTACAGTCCGATATTGTTAAATTGAAGGGACAAATGAGAGAGGCATTCACATCAACTGTGAAACGATCTCACTCTGAAAGCGAAGTGAGTGAAAACGGAGGAGAAGAATCGACGAGAGAGGATGGAATAACATCCCCACCCACAAATCAAGAACAAAATGGAGAAGGATCAGCCGAGAGCAAAATGGCATCGGAACCTTTAACCATACAAGAAAAACAAGTTATTAATTACCTCATCAAGGATTATTTGACACAGCAAGGATACAAGATTAGTGCAATCAGTTTCTCTGACGAGGTGCACGAGATGGACATGTTCAATCTTGATGAAATGCTTCCCAATCATACCAATGAAAATGATCTTCCTCTAGGATTACACTATTTGTACAGACATTATTATAGTTCTGGAGACAAGACAAAACAAAACATGAAAGACACAAAAGCACTTCGAGAAGCACTTTCTCAATTGGAAGCCAAGGATAAACTCATTCAGAATTTAGAGAAATCTATACAGCGTCAAGACAAGACGATAGAGAAATTGAAAGCTCAAAATAAGGCACTCGAACAAGACATGTCGAACATTAAGCAAGAAAAGACAGCAGAGAGTACTTCTGCTGTTACTTCAACAGAGAGTCACCACGAGGAGACTGAGACTGATACTCTCAATAATAGCACCGATTCAATTTCGAATGATGTCATGGTTTTGCAAGCCAAATTGAGAGAATATGAAAACCAAGAATCAAGCATTGTGCAAATTGTTGGAGAAAAATTGCCAACTCTTTTGGCAGCTGTTAAATCAAACGAGAGACAAGAATTCATGCCCATTCTTACAGCTACACTACAAGCACACCCTGATGCAGAAGTGAGGGAGACTCTTTCCGAGGCGTTGTTTAATCTCGTCAAGAAGCCAGACGAACAGGAGCGCCAAATGATCATTAACGGATGCATTACTTTGGCAAGACGTATTTCTCCTGACCGATTTGAGAAAGAAGTACTTCCTCAATGCTGGAAACAAATGACACACAAATACACAGAAAGAAAGATTTTGGTTGCCGAGGCATGTGGTGAACTTGCACATTATGTTAAGGCCTCTCTGAGACCAACCATGCTCTTGTCTACTCTTGCAAAATTAATGGAAGACAAGACCGATGAGGTGAGAGAATCTGTGGTGATCAACTTGGCCAAACTCATCTCCACTTTCACAGAGGAAGAGGATGTGGAAAGTAAGAGCAAGTACTTCCAAATTGAAGAGATGACGCTCAAATTTTTATACGACAAGGCAGAAACAGTGGAGTCAGCTGCCATTAGACTTCTTGTTCCAGCACTCATTACGTGGTGTTTCAATTTTGACTATTTATTCGAAAAGTTTGCTCCAACTCTTTTGAGCAATATTGAAAATTTAATCAAAAAGAGACTTAAAAGTGGTTCCAGTGCAAGTAGTGCAAAGATTGTCGTACTCTTAAAATGTTTTGGTGGAGTTATTCCATACCTTCACAAGATGATGCTAAATACCATGCCGGCAGATATGAAGGGTGAGGTCAAAGATGAACCAACTCTCAGGAAGATCATGGACCGATATATTAATGACAATCCTCTCTCTGAATTGGAGAAGACCAAATCTGCTACATGGAAAGGTTTATATTGGTTGTTGAATGTTTGTATTCGAAGATTGTTGTCCATTGCTGCTTCGGTTCATGTGGAACATACTAATGTAAGTTTGACATGTTGTTGTTGTTTGTTCATGTGATGTCTAATTATGACTTTGTTGAATCACACTATTTTTGATTGTCGAAATCTTGCAATGCAACGCTCATACACTAACCGCAAATAGATTTGCAAAGAAATTTATTTCCTCTTCAATTCACTTTGTGAAACATTCGGAGAACCAACTATATCTAAAGTGTTTGAGCTCAAAATTATCACATTACTTGAGACAAATTCTGATCCAATCGTAGACGGTACCATTGAAGTGGTAAAGAAAGACAAGGACGTTGATAGGTCGAGCGTCAGTCTTGTCAAGGAACGTCTGCTTCCAGTCTATATTTGTGGAACTCTACCATTCAGCCCTAAAGAAAGGATTATGGATGTGATCAAGAATCTTGTCATTAATGTCTCCATTTCTGAAAGAACTTGGGACTCGTCACACATGCCCTTCCTCTACAATGCTCTCATATCTGCTGTGACGAATGAAAAATTGAGAGGAGATGTTCTTTCTGTCGTTTGTAAATTAGCAGTGAATCCATCCAAAGTGGTGCGATCTGCAGTGGCTGATATTCTTGTTGAATTGATTCAACCATTGAGCTCTGACGTATTGTCAGCAACGGTCTTGCCTGCATTGATTACGCTCGCCTCAGACATGGAAGCTGAAATCAAAGTCAAGGCAGTAAGAGGTTTAGGCAAATTGGCTTGCAATTTGAATGAAGTGGCAGATTTCGACAAGCTAGCAACTCAAATCGAAAGCATTTTGGAAACCAGAGATCGAACCATGTTTAAAGAAATTCTAATCATGTTCTCAAAGATTATTCCTGAGGTGGAGTCCTATTTCCGTGACTTTTTCATTATTAAGAAATTGGTTTGGCTTGGCAAGCAAAACAACCTTAATAGTGATCTGAGAGATCGACGAGACACTGCCGGATATATTTTAGATAATTACAGAGCTCTCAATGGCTGCATGTTAACTGATGACATTATTGATCAGATCATTGAAGGTCTTGACTATCTTTCAAAGGATTGTGAATTAATTACTGACTCATCGGTAGCATCATTTGTCTCTCAAATGAAGGAAGAGCTTGAACACATTTTGGAACAGCATGCAAAAGAAGAAAATAAGGGTTCTACTCTAATTTCATTGACCTCTCTCTTTGAAAAGATGAAACCATCAACAAATGATGGTACTAATTCATCCATGGGATCATCCTCCATTTCCACAACCACCTCATCGACCATGACGAACTCTTCAACAGCTGCAACCAGTGGTGCCGGTAGTGGCGCTGTAAGTAGTGCCTCATCTTCCACACAGCCATCCACAACAGCAACAGGAGGCACAGGTTCAACCACCGCAACAGGTAACACTACCAATTGGCAAGGCATTTCTGGAGGGGCCAAGACCACTGACGATAGCCAAATGAAGGAAAATCTTAAAAAGATCTTTACTTTTGGTCTCATGAACACCAAGAAACAATAAAAAAACTATCAATTATTTTAATGATGACTTTATGACATACCATGAACCCAACATATCTTTGTGTAATACTCAATATATTTATCACCTTTATTGACCTAAAGGCGAGATGGAATTTTTTTGTTGTAACAACAAAATTGAGGAAAAACAGATTTGCTAGATTCGAATCCTTAATAATAGGTGAACGTGTGTGTTTGAACAATAATTTAGGATTTATTACAATTCGTCCTTGGTTGCAGTATTTGCAGCTTCTCCAACTTGAGGGAATTCTGAAAGAGTGTGGAAAGTTTGATCTCCTCCAATGACTCTATCCAACAAGACAGAGGCATCACTCACATTCTTAACTCCTTGCTTAGTGGCATACTTGAGCTTGTGACCTCTGAAGACTGCCAAGTCAAATCCTTCATTGCCGATTTCTTCGAGATTGAACACACTTTTGAGAGCAGAGAAAGCACTCGAACCAGCATTGACTTGAACAACCACATTCTCAGGGTACTTTCCGGCAACTTGTTTCAAGGTAGAAACTTGTGAATCATCTTGAGCATTAACAAATCCAATGACACACATCTTTTCACACTTCTTTGAGAAGGTCTCTTGATCCTCAATGACTGTGACCGAGTGAGTGGAGGTTTTTTTCTTCTTTGGAGGTGCCACTGGGGAACGTTCACCCTTTTCAATATTGGTCTCGATGAATTGAACGAGACTGTTCTTCTTCAATGAGGCACCATCAAATTTGATAAAATCTTCCATATTATTGTTCTTAAAGAGCAAAACTGCTGGTGTCTTGTCAATTCCAAACTTGTCCAAAAACTTGTCGTCACCAACAAATGCAAAATTCACCTTCTTACTTGTAAATTCAACAGCAATAGACTTGAATAGGTTTGGATTGGACGACTTGGAACTGAAGAGAATAACCTTTGACATGGTGCTGTCATCATTTTCCTCTGAGGATGTAATAAATTGAGTCAATTCTTCTTCTGTTTCAATTTTTCTGACAGGATCTCTCACACCATTCAAGAGTGAGAGTGCAGTGCTGACAAGAGATCCAGATTCACGTGCACCTTGGTAATCCTCTGGATTTTGTTTTGAGGACTTGAAGGTTGGAAAAACTTTGATGGTTGGGAATCCCTTAATTCCAAATCGTTGGGCCAATTCCTTCTCATTATCACAATTTACTCGTCCCATATTGACAACACCTCCAAGAGATTTGGCAGCCTTTTCATATTCTGTCGGAGAGGATTATCATTTGTATTACATGTATCGTTATTTGATGAATCACGATAAATTATTATAGAGAAATGGAAAAAAGTTGGAATGATCGGAATGATCGGCAAGATGATAAGATGGAACGAAACAAATGTCGAGATTTAAAACCATCATCCATATACTGCTTGCTCGTATTCCACAAATCAAGAGAAAAAACTCTCTCCGATTACCTACCTGGATGAAGTCTTTGGCAATGACCACACCATGGAGCAATAAAAGCAACAATCCATGGAGCATCGCTATTCGTTACTAGTCGATCAAAGTTATATTGGGTTAAATCAATGACGGAATCATCCGAGCTGCTCGTTGCTGCATGAAGAAAGGATGAAGAGAAGAAGGCAACGATGAGAAAAGAGAGGAAGAACAGCTTGTTTTGAGGAGCCATTTTTTTTGATTGTCGGAATTCTTGAAACACGTGTTTCGGAATGTAAGGTCAACTGCCAAAGTTCCACAAACAAATGTATTCAGAATAATAACATGATTCATTTCTACTCATCTCGTTCGTTTTTTGTGATTAAAAATAAAATTTTGCCGACACCAGGGATCGAACCAGGGACCTTAAGTTCTTCAGTCTTACGCTCTCCCAACTGAGCTATGTCGGCTCACATTCATAGTGAAACAGAATCCAAATTAAAGCAAGCCCATAACAACAATCTTTGGGAATAATCACACTATCATTTCAAAGCAAGAAATCGAAAAGAATAAAACATATATGCGAATCGAGTTAACTTCCAAACCAACATATAGTTAATGTAAACCATGAAAGTGGAATGATAGCCCATATCTTATATTTTCTCTGAAAGTGATTCTTTGTGTAATCAATGAAAAACATTCCAGTCAATTCGAGATTGTGCTTCCTTCCTCGAACGTGAATTGAAATTAGTATTCGTACGGATTTTTCAAAACAGAATGTAAGCCATTTGGATCAACACAATGTGGGTGGAGATCAAATGCTGATTGATGAACTAGTAGTGGGCTTGATATCATGATGTTGAGTAGCAGTGATTTTCCAATTCCTTTTCCACCTTTTGCAATTAGTTCAAATATTGCTTATTACCTCCTTTTTGATCCTGAAATGTCCACTATTAATTTAATCGCCTCTTCACGGTGTTTCATGCTAAAACTCCTCTTCTCTACTGCTATCGGGGGAAGTTTTGTCAAACCTTTAAAATCAAATTCTGAATGTTGTTGAGTTGAAAGTAATTCCTCGAGTTGTTCATGAGCCTTCTCATAAATACTTTTCGCATCTATGACTACTATTCTAGGAGTGTTGTTATCTAGCAATCTAACAACTGTGTGGAGCGCTTGAACCTCACTGTTGTAGGAAGTTCCTTGTCCTAAGGTGTGACTTGAGATGGAAACGTTCTGATCAGTTACAATACCGTATCCAGCAATATTGTTACATGATCCATCAGTACCAATTAGTGTAGCTTTGTTCAAGAGGTTTGATAGGGATGTATTGTTACCAATATATTTGTAGTATTTGCTTTCGTCTTTGATTTTTCCAAAATCCATGCTATTGAGAATGTTGCGAATCTGGGTGACATGATTGGAATGTTTGATGTTACTGTTTAATTTCACTTGTAAATTTTTAGGGTCAGGAATCCACATACTTAATCTGTTCCAATCTTTGTAGAGCAGGAATTGTCTTAAACCTTTAGGGAATTTTCCATAAGGGATGAGAGTTTTTCCATGCCATTGGTCAATCGAATGCCATAATCTAATATTGGAAGATTTGTTCATGAAAATTATTCTCTTGAGATATTGAGGAATCCATGGGTCTGGTTTATACCAAGTAGAGATTGGATCTTTGAGGATGTCAAAACCATGCTCCTGTTTGATTCGTTCACAAAGGAATCTTGTAGAAGATCCAAGACAGATTTCATATTGTTCAAGGAACTTTCTGACTTTACACATTAGGTCCGAGTAACTCATTTCTTACAGAAATTAATCCGAGTCCACCTTTGTCTTGATGAGTAGTAGTTCCTTCAACCTTTTGGTGATTAATTTAGTAGCTATTTTAAGTCCTGAGTCCATAAGGGCAATAGGTCTATAGTTAGCAGAGTTTGAGTGGTCCTTATTCTTTTTGTGAATTGGGAGAATGCTGACACTTTGCATTGATTCAGGAGTAAATCCAGTAGTAATGATATTTTCAATAATTTGAAAAATTTCCTCCTGTAATTCCTTACTTGTATTTGATAGTTTTTTGTCTTAAACCTAGTTCGTTGGGTGCTGTGGATTTCAAATTCTGAATTATCCATTCTTTCTCTTCCGTGGTAATTCTACCGAGTATTTTGTCATTGCAATTATCAATTAATGGATGTTTGTATTTGAAAAACTTGATAATGTCAATCTGATGATTCCTTCCTCTAAGGTTGAGGTTTTGTTGATATTTGTCCTTGATCACGTTGGCAACTTCATTGGGGTCACTAATTTCAGTTCCGTCAATAGATAATTTGTATGGTGGTGATGATGTTTTGTAAATTTTCTTTCGCAAGTGTTTAGAGTTGGTTGCATAATTCTGTTCCCACCATTTCATCTTCCTATTCAAAGCCTTATCATGGCTCCATTTGATATGATTCTTGATTTTCTCTTTGACGCTAGCAAGACATTTTGGAACCTGTTCTAAAGTTTAACCAATAGTCATCAAAGTTTGTCACAAGGATATCTGTGCTCATTTCTATCAAGTATTAACATGAGCTTCTTATATTGCTTATTATATTTGTAGATTTTAGGATGAGGTTTAGGTGGATTGACCTCCATAAATTTGTCGCCTAATTTATCACAAATGAAAAGCCATTTGTCGTTGTCAGATTCTAAATTCTTAACTTGAGATACACATTCTTTGCTAATGGCCAGCACTTCTTTCTTATTTTTGGGATCTTGAAAGTTACGCTTCTTCCGAATTAACAAAGGTGTTCGTTGACATGAGGTCAAGCAGAATTTTAACCATTTTGTGATCTGATATGAAGTTGGCATTCAGTACTTCTCCAGATGCAATTGGAAATTCCTGGAAAAGAAACCTGATACAGTTCACAAAATTTCACAATGTTTCGAAAGAGTAAACAATAAAATTCGTTTGTTAATTAAAGGAAGGACTAATGGGTTTATGGTCTCTCCTTAGGGTTATGATCGGTGTTTGTGGGATTTTCTGCATATTTTGTCAATTGACTTTATTCAGCAGAGTCCCGAGCATTAATTAAGATTTGAGAAGGTAAAAAACTCCAAAAACCGCTCATCGGAAAAAAAGGAGAAAAGCAGGAAGGATGAAGGCATAAGTAACGACTACATGATGTGAAGCGCAAGAAGTCACAGTTAGGCGGCAGAGACGAACACTCCATGATGTGAGGTCATATTTAAGCAATTGCTTGATAAATCCATGAAAATAATAATAACTTGATAAATCCATGAAAATCATGAAAACATGATGAATTAAATAAATGAAAATTAAATAACAAAATTATATAGTTAGCTCAATAAAATCCTTGCCGAAAAGATTCGAATCAAGGTGGACCTGCACTGTCACAATGTTCTTCCTTACCACAAGAACATTCCGATGAGCGAAAAAGGTACTTGAATAAGCTTAAGAAAGCAAGTGGGTGGGAGTGCAAATGGGTGGGAAGTCACTAAGCAACACAAAGAGAGACTAATCATTAATATGCAGAAATTTTTTGAGCATGGAAAAAATTTTTCAAGCTCAACCAAACTCTTTAATTGTTTACAATCGAAACATTCATGCCCTTCACTACGTTCAGAACATATCACGGAAGAGAAAGAATGGATAATTCAGAATTTGAAATCCACAACACCCAATGGTTTCACAAACGAAGCATTCTTTTGAGAAGCAATCGAGATCACCAACTCTGCTTTGAAATAATGTTTTGTTAGCAAAACTGATGATAGCTTCAACCTCTCTTCATGCTATAAAGGCCAATAGAAATAAATACACAAGCAAGTAGTCTATGAGACCCATGTTTGAAGGTGTCTTCTTTGTTGACTGATTTGCATTCTTTGATGGACTTATTAATATTTTCAATCAAAACTTGTTCTCTCCTTGATATAGTATCAAAAACAAATTGCGACCACGTTTTCAGATGAACTGGTTTGAATCCTGACACAACATAACCAACTCATTCAAAACCTGGATCTCCCAAATCAAAATCATTGCCAATTATTTTCCTGAAATGCTTATTATATGTTGCGATAACTGAATCATGTCTTTCCCTTGAATGTTCGTTAAAAATGAAACAACATAACCCTCATAATCAAGTAAAATTTGTATAAGTTTCCCATGTCTTCGATAATGACCATTATAATCTACATCTATACCACCCTGCTTTCGAGTTTTATGAATCGTTCCGTCAATAATATTTTTCAATTTAGGATGCAATCGACTTCTAGTTTCATGAATTTTCTTGTTTGGAATATATTTTGCAAATAGTTCTACTAAAAAAGGAAGCATTTCATCCAGTACTTTACTGACATAATATTCTGATGTATTGAATAGACAAACCAAATTATTCCTTCCATTATATTGAATGACGAAATGGAGAGCCATTAATAATTTGTTAGGTAGGGACATTGATAAGGGACTTGTATGGTCTTTCATAATATCTTTCACTTGTTCCAAAATCTAATCAAATTCTTCCTTTGATATGTTATATTAATGAAAATTTGTACGGATATTTACACCACTGGGAATAAATAACAAACACCGAAAGTTCTGATGTTTGGCCAGAACACAAACCCATTTGTTCCTTAAAATTAACTAAACGATTCTTGTTGTTTACATCTTCGAAAGACTAATATTATTCATTGCGTTAGCTTTACAACATCTTTCAAATCATTGTCAGCAAGTTTTCCAAAAGACAAGTCGGGAAGATAGCTCTTAATTGTTGAGATAGAGGGAAGCAATAAATTAAGCTTATCAATGCATTTTCGAATGTTATAGTGTCGCCAGAAATTCCTTCCAATTCCTTCTGAAGAGGATCCATTCCATTCATAGAAACCAGTGCCAAGCAAGGATTGAATGTGTCTGATGCAACTCACAGCACTGGTGAGAGAAGTGAGAACGACTTTGAAGAACCTTTGGAGGAAGAGACCACGAAAAAAAGGTGTTTCATCATGTAAAAATTCAACCTTCTTTTTTTCGCTTCATCTTGCCATTCATTAAATTGCATCATATCTCTTTGAAGGATTTCATGAGTTTGTAAATGAAGAATTGCAACAAAATGAAAAGCTAGTGATGGAATCTCACAAATCAATCTGGGTATAATTTTGACTTGGATGAATTCTCGAATCAAATAAGAGAATACTTCCTTCTTCATTCTATTTACTTTAATGATAGATATGATGGAAAATCTCAAGTTGCATCATTTATTTTCACCATACACCAAACATTCGTTGAGCTTGTAATTTTGTTCCTTGACAGGTTGCATCAATTTCTTTGCAGCATTTGTAAAGTACTGATGCTTTTGAAGAAAATCCAAATTAGAAATGTGCCAATCGCGAGGCGCAATTGGCTTTTTGTAAACTCTTTCCAATTCGAGTCGAAGACATTCCGATTTTAAGAAATAAAGATCCGTACCCAAATGACCCAAATCTGCATCGCACACAATTTGACACAAACGACAATCACCAGGATTTTGAGGAACCATGGTGGCCATAATGCATTTACAAACTTTTTCAATCTGTTCCTCTGAATAACCAAATTGAGGCAAGTATTGACGAGCTCGTTCGCAACCTTTTGGTTCATTCTTTGAATATTGATCTAGATAACCGGTGTCATGGAATAGAGCTGCTGTTTTTCTGTTGTGTGGTTTGATCGGGTTGTATCAATATGATTCAAAGTTTGGAACGAATTGGTTCATGATGAATGGTGAATATGGATGAATATGAGATTGTTGGATCCATAAGATAGAGTCGTGATTAAATATTGCATGATACCATTCCATGAACCAATGATCACAACATGATCGGAGTAGATCAATTCATCATCAGCACCATAATGAAGAACTTGAAAGTGTTTCAAAAAACAAGAATACAACACCTACACAATCAACAAATCTTCCTCATTCAGGCCTTCCTCTTTAGCCAACAGAATAGAAGCAGGAAGCACATCTTCAAACGTGTGCCCGATGTTATGATAAAACAAATCCTTATCAAGAGCTTGCAATTGCTCGTGAACGAGTCGATACACTCCTTCGTAATTTGCCATTTTTTTTGGATGTTGTTGTTGCTACTATTAAAATAATCGATTGGAAAATTGTTGCGTTCGTTTGTTGGATCGAGAGGACAAAGAAGAACCCACCCAAAATTGGATGAAGATATGGGCAGTAGTAGAAGCGAACATACATATATGGATGGAGTGAAAACCCCTTCATTTTTGTTTTGTCGAATTTCCTTTTGGAAGATTCCACAGTGGACGAACGGCCGTGTTACATACATTGAGTATTCTTCAATGGTTGAACATAAATAGTCCAGCTATATCAGGTGCTGGACAAACAAAGTCTAAGACCATAATTGAAAGCAAAGAATCTGTTATTATAACTATTCTATATAGAATGAAAAAAAAAAGAAAGAGCTGGAAAAGGATTGAACTCTTCATATGTTTGGTCTTGGATAATTCAGATTTACATGGAAGGTATTATAAGTGCACTGTACTCTAATAGCTACTATCAGATTTGCAGAGTCATTTAAGGTATTAAGAAAATTAATTGAAAGACTTTATATAATAATTTAGCAAAAAAAAAATTACTGATCGTGAAAGGGGAAGTCACCGAAGCTGAAAGAGATCATCATCCCATTCAAAGAAACGACACAGTTCACGATGAAAGAGCAAACAAGCTATTTTACCCTTCCAAGATGAGGCGCACGGTTTTCCTTTTGATTTACAACTGTTGCGCACAACGACCATCCTCGACGTTTGTTGATGATTCTTTATTCTTCAACCAATTTGAAGTGGAAAAGGAACGACTCTCAGTTTCAATGATTATGTGAGTTGGCACGCCCAACAAGTGGCATCCGTGTTAACTTCTCCTCAATCTATCGGTGGTGTTGGGTTGTCTGTCGATAATGTGAAGCCTTTGTATGAATCTGATTTTAAAGGGTTGTCTCTCCACAACATTGTTGAGGTTATCAAGATGGAGGGTGTAAAACATGCCCTTGATCAACAAAACCTCCCCCGATAGCAGTAGAGAAGCACTTATAACAAGAATATCACTCCTCATCTCTCTGACACTTGTCAAACTATTGTCTTCTGGGTTATCAATGAATTGATGACAAGACAATATTCACTATGGCTTTTGGAGCCAGTTAGTGAACGAATTAAGGAAAAGTGATGTGAACCAATTTCAAAAGGAGGTGCTGACTTGGCTCTTGATCAAGTTCTTCATTAGATGGAAAAAACTCTATACCGTCGCAAGAGATGTCATCTCATCCAAAGATGTATCTGTGGCTATCAGAAACGCGAATTATCTTGACTTGGCTTTATACAAGAAAGTTGTCAAGTGGATCCATCAATTTCTGTTGGACGGCAAGTTTCAAATTGAGATGAAGAAATTCAACAAACACTCGAAAGGAAATTGTGCCTTCCTTTTGGTTGTGTGTAAAATCTTCCTTGGAGATGAGAAGGGCGTTTTGGAAATGATCAACAATGGTCGCCTCGAATCATGCATGACTCATTCCAACAAATTTGCAAAGGAAAAATTGGAATTGTTGAAACATGTGAAAAGTGACCGTACGAAATTATTGGTATCAGTCATGTTCTACTTCCAATTAGCGTATTTGAGAAGAGATTTGGCCAATCTTAAACCTCAATATTTGAAAACCTTGCATGATTTGTTTGTGAAACATGTGATGGGTGGAGGAGACAGAATGATTGGAGCTTGTCAGAAGAAAAGTCTTCCAAAGTTAACGCAGATTTATGTGCTGGTTGTTGTGTCATTCATGCTCAAATGTTGAGTGTTTTGGGAGATGAATCCAATGATGAACAACAGAAAGTATTCAAGAAGGCACTCTCGTATGAACATAAAATCAAGTATGAAAAACAATGGATTGCATTTTCGTATTACGAATTGGCGGAACATTTATATTTGCATGAGAATTGAAGAGACAGATGAAAGGTGGAGATTTTGATGTGAAACCGAATGGTCCTTCCAATTTATCATTTCTTGATCCAATTTCTAAAGAGCATCGCATGTCTTACAGTTGGACATATTGATGAGAATTGTGATTTAATGATTTTCCTTAAATGGTGCTTGTTGGGAGGCAGAAAGATGATGATTCTCTTCACTCTCTTCAATGGTCTTGGATCTAAAGATTGGGAAAAAGCTTGTCACATCGTCATTATCTTCACATTTTTGGAAAATGTAACTTTCTGTTCCAGTATATTCTGTCTCTGGTTTTTCATATAAATAAATTAAAAAGTAAACATAATTCCACAAATAATGTTCTTCCTTAATATGTTTTTCAAAGGTAATTCCTTCGTTGGCTTTGGTGTCGAATTTGCTCTTTTCCAAAGCACAGACAAAACATTTTTCAGTAATTTCCTTTTTTCGTTCTTCTCGTGCTTTTCTCAGTTGTTGGAATGAGTCGAGAATGGTACCAAACACCACGTTGGTTCTGTGACATGTATTGACATTGAATTTTATGAAATAATAGAATTCGGAGAATCAGGTAGAATGAATTAAATGTTCAATAAAAAATTGAAAAGTAAAATTTTCGAATCACATAGATACAGTGATCACTGGAACACTAGTACTTACAAAAACACAATAACAATCAATGTAAAACTCAAATCCAAAATAGCTCTTCCAACTCCAGGATCTGGTGCATAAATATTCTCCCACGATGCTGCTGTTCTAAATCCATAATCAAATGTTGTCACAAAACATGCTAACACTGTGTCACAAGTATTGAGATTGGTAGTTGTGGTGATAAAATCATAACTGTACCATGTGAAATAGAGTAATCCAAAGAAGAACATGGCAATCAATAACAACATTCCAGCAAAGAATAATTTCTTTCCATTCGAAATGACAGCATTCAATACATCAGTCAATGATTTAAATCTGAACACAATTTCAAAAAGTTGAATACTATAAACGAGTGGAGAAATTAATAAACCCATCATACTCAACATGAAATAGATAACGAAAAACCACAATTGTGTATCTCTCAAAATGTATAAAAAGAATTTCCAATAAAAATGACGATTTCTTGGAATGCTGTCCCATGTTTCACGTTTCTTCAATTTAAATCGTTTCTTCACCTCGAGTGTGACAAAATATTTCACATAGGTTACACTCAATGTTGCTGTAATGATTAATTGAATGGCACCAACAATGGTTAAAACAATATCTCCAGCAAGTGTCCGCGGTGACGGATATTTAGGAGCATTTAACACATCAAAATTAGAGTCACCAGGAACTGGAATACCACTCATAGTGTCTACTGAATATAATCTCTTATATGTTCCTAATAAGACGATATTAATCACCACACAGAAAATAAAGGAAGAAAGTCTTAAATATTCCCAAAAATGAGCAATAAATTCCCAACTTGCAGAAGTTTCATTGCTGTGTGCAGAATGTGGTACAAACTTTTTACGTTTGGATTTTGGAGCCAAATTTCGACGAATGTCATTGATGGATGGAATTAAGGATGAATTTTCATCCAATAATGAAAAGTAGGAGGAAGTGTCCCTTGTCGCGAGTTCTGAAGAATGGGAAGATCGATGATGAGAAATGACATCCAAATTTACAATTTCTTCAATCTTGTCTTTCATTCCAAATAGAGACTTTTCTTTCTCATGGATTCATAGTGTTGCATTTCCACATAAAATCGACTAAATGTATCGTTATAGAGCTGTCTCACTTTTTCTTCTGGAGTCATGATTGGAAGTGAATGTACATAATCATGACGTGCCTTATCCATTAAATTTTCACAAATTCTTGGAATGGGAAAGTAAACTGTTTCGATATTATTATTTCTCAAAACTTCAATACTACCTGTGTGTTCAGAAAATATACTCAGCAAATCTTGATGTAAATTCAAAAAGTTTGTGACTTTGAGAGTTTTGTGTTCTTCCAAAAATGTATTTCGTGAGAGAATTCGCAATTGTTCACGTTCCGCATCTTTGAAAATATTCATTAAAAAGAAAATTTGCATTCCCAACTCTTCGTAGGCATCTCTAATCATTGGAAATACGGCACTAATGTAATCCTCGGCCACAACTGGATTCAATTTATCACGTGTGGCTTCATAGAGGAAATGAGTGTCAAAATCTTTTCGGAGACGTTGTACCACTTCATCGACCTCATCCGTGGCACGATCGTGATGTGATTCAGATTGCAAGGATCGCAAAAATCTTGCAGTGAATAATAATAACTGTTCCAACTCTTCCAAATTGAGAGAATTTCTCATAATCTCCAATAAATTTTGAGTGTTACTTCCTTCCAATAAACTGGTGAGTGTCAAGACGACTTCTTTTTTCAAAATGACTTCTTGTTGTTTCAATAAAT